GGGTCATGAATTATTAATGTTGGTTGTCATTACAGATTCTGTAGGTTTTAACAATACAATAAGGTGATATTATTTTATATATATTTATATTTGATATAAATATGTATGATATGATATAATGTTTATATTCATAATACCAAAAATTATGCTTTCAAAGTTGGCACCCATGTTGTAACTTGAGAAAGTTTAGTCATGAAGAAAAATTTTGTTGATAGTTCTATATCCATTTTAAAATGACATTTATAGTTTAAAAATTAGCAAGCAAGAAAGTACAAGAAAGTGACATCTGGTCCAGATGTCACTTTGTGGGCAAATTCTAACCAAACATTTAATGACACAGTGATGTCAGTTCTACACAAATTTAGAAAGCAGATAAGCAGGGAGCCACTCTCCACTCTTTCTGTAAGGGCTGCAACATCCCCTATGCTGAGATCAGACATTTACAAGACAGACACACTGATCCCTCACAGCTTTGGAAATTACAACTAATAAGATGTAAAAAGACGGTATGTCAAGTGGGGTTATTATAGGGATTCGAATTGGGTGTAAAGTTCAAAGCCAGTTGATGTAATTGGCTACATTAACAGAATCAGGTGACTATCTCATATGCTCAGGAAAATGCCTTTGACAAAAGCCACTATTCCCGAGAGAAGCTCAGGCAGAAGTCTCTAGTAAATTAGGAATAAAGGAAATTTCTAGCATGGTAAAGGGTGTCCAGAGCAACCCTACAGCTAACATACATCTGGGCAGAAACTAAATGCTTTATTCCTTAACCAGGAACAAGGTAAGTATGTGTGCTTCCACTACTGAATTCAACATGCTAGTGTTTTTAGCTGGTTCCAGTGGGGGCTGGGAGGAAGTAAGAGTTTTTGTTAGCGGATGACAAATGTAATAGAGTTGATAGAATCTACCAAAAACTGACAACAAACTCCCAAGTGTTTGTAATTTATGTATACGGGTATTAAATAGTTAGAAATTGAAATGTAAAAATCTCCTTTTATGCTACTTAGCATTTCATTGTGTAACAAGATACCTGAGGAAAAAGGGAGACATTAAAGTTGGATTATGGTTTTAGAGGTTCCAGTCTGTGGGTTGTTTGGTTCCTCAGTCACGATGAGGCAGAGCATTGTGTCGGGCACGTGGAAGAGCAGAGCTGCTCACCTCATGGTGACTGGGATGTGTATCCTTCAGGGACATACGCCCGCTGACCTGTCTACTCCCCTCCTAGTCCACACTTCAGCAGTGTCATCAGGTCATGAATCCGCCAGTGGGTTACTTCATTCTTGATGACGTCACATGCCCAAAGCACACTAGCTGGGGTCCAGCTTTTAACTCCTTTAACACCTTTTGAGTGGAAATTTCCTAGCCAAACTAGCACCTATATGATGATATTGCAAGCATGAGGTACGAATGGGTTAAGACTTGCAAACCCCACTTATAAGCATTGTGGAGAAAACTCTGGAGAGATGCACCATGATTGTGAGTAGAGATGAAATTTTGTTAATGTATCTGTTTTTAAAATTTATTGACTGGAGAGATGGTTCAGTGATTAAGAGCACTGTTCTTCAGAAGACCTGGATTCAATTCTCAGCACCCATATGGCAGTTCACAACTGTCTGTAATTCCAGTTCCAGGGGACCCTACACCCTCATACAGACATACTGGTAGGCAAAACACAGAATGCACATAAAATTAACAAAACAGAAACAAAAAACTCAAGAAACACATTATCACCCCCCCCCAAAAACAGAAGCAAATCAAAGTATATAAGCAAAGGAGCAATAAGATGAAAAAATATTCCCAAAGGAAGTAAAATGAGACAAAAAGTCTACAAAAATACCATTGAGTTCATTTAACCAGGCTGTGGTGGTGCACGCCTTTAATCCCCAAATGTGGGAGGCAAGTGGAACTCCAGGTTAAAAGCCAACTTGGTCTACAGAGTGAATTCCAGGTCAGCCAGAGCTAAACAGAGAAATCCTGTCTGTGCCTGTGCCTGTGCCTGTGCCTGTGTCTGTGTATACGTATATGTATATATGTCCATGCTAGTGTATATTCTGTGTATACGCAGACTGTGGAGGCCAGAAGAGGGCATTAAATCCTCTGGAGCTGGAGTTACAGGCAGTTATGAGCAGCCCAGTGTGGGTGCTGGGAACCAAACTTGGGTCTTCTGGAAGTGCAGAAAGTAATCTCCAGCTGTTACGATACATCTTTCTGCCTAAAGCCGCCTGAGCCCCACCACCACATGTGAGCTTTATGCCAGCCGCCTGCCCGCCCGAGTTAGACCCAAATGAATACACAGAAACTTGTTTTAGGTTCAAAGCTGCTTGGCCAATGACTAGGATTCTCATCTGTTAGCTCAGTCTTAATTATCATAAATCTATGTATTTTATAAGACTTATCTATCTTATCAGACACCTTATTGGCATCCCTCCTTGCTGGGATCACATCTTGCCGCTGGAACAGGAGCGGAGGCGAAAAAGGGGGCCCTTCCTGTTTCTCCTTCGCTTAAATATGAGTCTCCTTGCTATGTCACTTCCTGCCTGGATCAGCACTTCTCTACTACATTTCCCAGAATCCTCTTTGACTCCTAGTCCTGTCTACTTACTGTCTTATTGGCCAAACAGTATTTTATTTAACAATCAATAAGATAAACATACACAGTACATTCCCCATCATCCAGCCCCCAGTATATCTATTTTCTGAGGCTGGGGTGTAGCTCCATGCATAAGACTTGGTCCACAGAATCATAGTCCACAGGATCACAACTTTACCAGATTGTGGTGTGTATTCCATGTACTTGTTTTAATTTTTTAAAACAATAATTAATGAGTAGATTTTGAAATTCACCTATAATAGCCGAAGCAACTTTGGAAAAGGGGAACAAAAGAGTGCTTCCTGATTGTAAGACACTGTAACATTTTGACAGGACAGGGGTCAGTGGAGCTGGCTAGAGAACTGACATTTGGCAAAGACTTCAAAAACAATTCAAACCCAATCTATAGAAAAATGACAGCTAGTTTTGAGCAAAAATCTTAACTTTGAAAAGTACAGTTAAGGGCTGGAGAGATGACTCAGAGGTTAAGAGCACTGGCTGCTCTTTCAGAGGTCCTGAGTTCAATTTCCAGCAACCACATGGTGGCTCACAGCTGTCTGTGATGAGATCTGGTGCTTTCTTCTGGTGTGTAGGCAGAACACTGTATACATAATAAATAAATCTTAAAAAAAAAGAAAAGTACAGTTAAACTGGGCGGTGGTGGTGCATGCCTTTAATTCCAGCACTCGGAGGCAGAGACCGGTTCTATCTCTGTGAGTTCTAGGCCAGCCTGGTTTAGAGTGAGTTCCAGGACAGCCAGGACTATTACACAGAGAAACCCTGTCTTGAAAACAAACAAACAAAAAACAAACAAAAAGGAAAAGTATAGTTAAGATAATGAGAACACTGGGATGTGAGATATTTGCAAATTATATATGTAATAGAGAACTTACAGAATGTATAAAGACTTCTCAAATTTTAAGAATAAGAAAACAGTACAACTAGAAACTGAGCAAAAGTTTGTAATAGTACGTGTCACTCAAGTTGTAAGAATAGCAAATATGCCTGTGAAAACTGTCAGTCAACTTTATTAGTCATTAGGGTTGTAAGACGGAAACCACCCCAAGAGGAATGACCAAAATTGAACTCAGCCTCCTGTGCCAGGCATGAGGGATACCTAGAACTCACAGATGGTGTTAGTGAGTGTGGAGAGTGGCAAAAAAAACCTTGGAAACACAAAGTTGACAGTTGCAAAGTTAGAGCCAGGTCTGAGGATTTAGGTTTGGTGGAATTTTTGCCCAGCCAGTGAGAGGCCGGCCTTGCATTAGTCCCTGGCACTGTCCCCACTCTTAGAGATCTTCACTTAAATGACACATCCATTCTGTTCCTAGCTATTTACCTCTGAGAAAAGAAGTCATATTTCCATGATGGGGAAATGGCTCAGTTGGAAAAGTACCTGCCATGGAAGCATGAGGACCCACCCGAGTTAGGATTCCCAGTATCCACATAGAAAGCTGGGAGCAGTAGTGAGTCCCTGCAGTCCCAGTGCTGGGGTGGAGTAGGGGGTGGGGCAGAAACTGGCAGATCTCTGGAGCTCACCAGCCAGCCGACTATTGGAATTGGTGAGCTCCAGGTTCAGTGAGAGACCCGGTCTCAAAATAAGGTGTGAGTGATAGAGGGAGATATCTGACATATATGCACACCCATGACCAAGTGCACCCCCCCAAATCATATATCTTTGCAAAGATTTTTGTGGGAATATTCTTAGCAGATTTTATTTTTATAATAGCTAAAAACTGAAAAAAAAAACCCATATCTCTATTGTGTGGTGAATGTATAAACGAACTGGTGTCTCCAAAATGGGATATATATATCCCTCAACAATAAAAGGACATTGTACTGTCTACACAGTGGATGAATCACAGAATAAGTGTGCAGAACAAAGGAATCCCAGCCACAAAGAGTACATATGACTTCACTTCTTGAGCATTGTTGGAAACTTAAATTTATGTATCCTGGGCAGAGATGGGCGGCAAAGACTGGAGAAAGGGAATGAGGAAACTTTCGGAGTGTTCTAGTAAGTTCATTACTGAATTTTGTGGATTTGTGTATGTGTATATATTTAAAAGCATACCCTGTTGTATACTTTAAACATGTCAGCTATACCTCAATAAAGCTATTTATTAAAAATATGTAAAAAAAAAAAAAAAAAAAAAAAAAAACATGGGAAAATGTTAGACTCTGGCTGCTGTGGCCCTTGAGTGGCAAGTCTCTAACCTGCTTTTCTCTTGAAAAAAAAATAAAAAAAAAAAAAAAAAAAAAAAAAAAACCTTGGAAAATGTTAGACTCTGGCTGCTGTGGCCCTTGAGTGGCAAGTCTCTAACCTGCTTTTCTCTTGCCTTGGTTGTTTTCAGTATTTCTGCCCATTTCAGCATCCTGGGGTGGGATGTTTCCAGTGTATCTGTAGAAGTATCTGCCTGCCATGGAACAAACCAGCCCCGGACAGCTGGTTCACATCTTCTGTAGGAAGCGCTCACCTGGACGCACGGTTGTCACAGCACAGCCACTTGTGTTGGGAGCCCTCTTTGCTGCTGCGTGGACCACTCCAGTCAGATGGTAGTCTAGCTTTCTCGTGTAGAAGCAATCTACCCACAGAGTGATCTCAGAGATCAGATCATGAAAGCTGCTTCATTAGCCCGAGGTGAAGGGAAGGAACCTGTCCCTGTGTTTCAATTCGGGAATGAACTGAAAGTTCCATGTAAAGAGACGGCCTCACCCCAGCTTCCACCTCATCTTTGAACTTTCTAAACCTCTCCTGTTCTCTTCTTTGCTAAAAGATGCTTGAGGTGAGAGAGACCTGCTGTAGTATCCTGCTGTGCTGGCAGTTTTATGCCAACTGGACACAAGCTGGAGTCCTTTTAGAAGAGGGAACCTCAGTTGAGAAAATGCCCCTGCCAGACTGAGCTGTGGGCAGGCCTGTGGTGCATTTTCTTGATTGATGATTGATGGGAGAGGGCCCAGCTCATTGTAGGCAGTGTCACCCCTGGGCTGGTGGTCCTGGGTGCTATGAGAAAGCAGGCAGAGCAAGCCAGTAACAGCCCTCTTCCATGGCTTCGGCTTCAGCTCCTGCCTTCAGGTTTTTGCTCCAACTTCCCAGGTTGATCGTCTGTAGGCTGCAAGTTGAAAGGAGCCCTTCCCTTCTAAGTTGCTTTTTGTCATGGTGTTTTATCACAGCAGTGGAGAAACCCTAAGACAACCATGAAGTTTTGCTTTGACCCTCTAATCGTATCCCCTGAGAACCTTGTATTGGTAGTTGAGCATCTCATTTGGGATTATGGCCAAAGCTGGTAGAGATTTCATCTTGGAGCCTCAGCTAAGGATGTGATATTCAGTCAGGTACAACGACGTTAATGGTGTTGGCAGGACCTTCCTGTCCTGACTGATGTAAAGATTTGTGCTGTATGTAGGGTCATCACAGTTTGCGAGAGCCCCACTTTGATCTTTTATTTACTGTAGTATTGGATATGGATTCCTTCCTGCAGTGCAGGATTGTATGGCTACAAGTTCCTAGTTTCCTACGAGGTGGCTTCCTGGTTCTGTCACTTTGGCTTTTATTACTGTTTGTCCCTGCCCCCTCTTTTTAAGTCATTGCCGTCCAGTTCACCTTATGGTTCTGTCTTTTCTAAACTTCCATAGAATTAATTCTTAGTAACAGCTGTTCTTTATCATCAGAGCTAGCTTGCTTCCTCCTCCTCCTCTCTCTCTCTCTCTCTCTCTCTCTCTCTCTCTCTCTCTCTCAATTCCTTTAAGTACTTGAGAGGGACTACTTTCTCTCTTTTTAAATGGAAGAGTTAAAATGCTTATTTTTAGGATGCCTCAAAGTTCAGAGATTTTAGATTCTCAAAAACTACTTTGGGAGAAGTAAGAGAGATAACATTTGTGGATGCAGAAGATAAGTAAGTCAGATGTAAAGTGGGTGGACAGTGGGACAGACTCAGGACAGAACAGAACACAGGCTGTGCCAATCCCACTCTGTTGTTTGGCACTGAGCGTTTAAGATTTGCTTTTCTATGCAGGAATACCACTGATTTATTGCTGAGATTATACTGGCAGGTAATACAGGAATGAGGGCTATAGAAAGTCATATGTTAGGTATCTATATTCTTTCCTTTATATTATGCAGTAGGGAGCTCTCAGTAATACATTAGTCAGAAACGACCATATACCATATTGTCAGTAAACTTTAGGAACCCCAGGCTAACAGGTTAATTGTGTGTGTGTGTGTGTGTGTGGTGTGTGTGTGTATGTGTGTGTGTGTGTGTGTGTGTGTGTGTGTGTGTGTGTGTGTGTGTGTGTAGACTCACCCTGTAGATGTATAAATTCTTCATAGATTAATTTGCAGCAAGCGTAATGCCAGTGTTCTACAGTTTAGATGAAAGACTAAAATATGGGAGCGTAAAGTCCTAAAAATTAATGTCAATGAGCACAATGTCCCTAAGCAGATGTAAAATGTGTTGTTAACATAATAGTAGTCAGCAGTGTCTATAACCAGATTTTAAATGTGGTGTTGAAGTACAGAGCTTGATTATAGAACAGATGAAAGAATTTTTAAAAATCCAGAACAGACCAAAAATGTCTATGAATTTAGAGAATGGTGAAAGTAAATCAAAAGGAAAAGGGTTGTGACTTGGTAAATAAGTGAGAGACAGCTGAGTGGGGTCCATGCATTATTCCAGAGTGGAGGGAGCAGCGAGTTAGGTGGAGTAAGAGCTCTGTGTTGAAATAGAAACTGTGAATGTACTGCTGGAAATATAGGCGAGAACACTTTCGTCCTTAGGATCAGGATGGTTTTGTAAAGCATGGTCCAAAGGCGGAGCCTAGAAACAGTATTACCCATTTTCCTTAGTGAATGAACTATGGGGATTTGGAAAATGTGGAAGGCTTAAAATTCTATATTTTAAAAGTATTTTGAAAACCAGACAAAGTGGCGCACACCTTTAATCTCAGCGGAGGGAGGCAGATCTCTTAGTTCAAGGCCAGCCTGGTCTACACAGTGAGGTCCAGGACACCCAAGAGTTACATAATGATACCCTGTCTTGAAAAACAAAAACAAATACAACAATAACAAAAAGTTTTGTAATTCCAGTTAAATATCTAGAAAAGGCTGATTTACCAAGACAGAAAGTCTAAGGGTGCCCAGGTCTTGGGGAAGCAGGAGAGGAAGGAGAAGAAAGTCCTGATGGAGCTGTGAGTCTTTATAGGGTTATGAGAATGTTCTAAAATTAGATGGTGGTGACTGACCAACTGCATATACTAAAGTTACTTTACACTTTAATGGGTGTGGATTTGAATTATATGTCAATAAAGCATTCAGTTTTTTTTAATTAGAAAACATCTCAGACAATGAACTAATGTCATAGACAGTTGAAAAAGACAAATGTACATGACTTCACTTTTTGTATTAAGTAAATATACATACAAATTAAGTCAACACTGAGACGGCATTATTTAAACTCTTGCATTTGACAGATGTTGAGAAACTTCTGGGTGTGTGATGGTTTGTGATCCCAGCTCTTGTTCCCAGCGAACCAGGAAGTGGAGGTGGGAAGTTTTCGGCTAGCCTGAACAGTGTAGGGGAGAGTGTTTCTAAAGAGGAGGACTGAGATGTAGGTCATTGGTAGGTAGAGCACTAGCATGCATGGCTCTGGGTTCTCTCCCCAGCACTGAATAAAAAAAGACTAACGCTGGCCAGGCAGTGGTGGCAAACACCGTTAATCCCAGCTCTCCTAAGGCAGAGGCATGTGAGTCTCTGTGAGTTTGAGGCCAGCCTGGTCTATAGAGTGAGTTCCGGGACAGGTAGGGTTGTTACACAGAGAAACCCTGCCTCAAAAAGCACACAGCAAGCCAGCCAGCCAGCCAGAACA